CACATAGTAGAGTGACACACAGCTGGCCTCCACATAAGAAATGAGCTTGTGAGCTGGGGATACAGATGAGTTGGATGAGTGTTTGTTTAGCATGTTCAAAGCCTTCAGTTCAATCCCCAGTGCCAGATGGATTAGGAATGGTGAGACATACTTGCAGTCATGGATTAGGCATGGTGAGACATACTTGCAGTCATGGATTAGGAATGGTGAGACATACTTTGCAGTCATGGATTAGGCATGGTGAGACATACTTTGCAGTCATGGATTAGGCATGGTGAGACACACTTGTAATTCTAGCACAACTGAGGTAGAAGCATGAGAAGGAAGTGTTCAAGGTCATGGCCAGTTACGAAGTAATTTCAATACCAGCCTGAGCTAATGACTAAAGGAGACCCTGTCTCAAAAAACCAACAAGCCAGGTGGTGCTGGTGCACACCTTTGATCCCAGCATTCAGAGGGCAGAGACAGGCAGATCTTTGAGTTTGAGGCCAGCCTGGTCTACATAGCCAGTTCTAGGACAGCCAGGAGTATGCAGAGAAACCCTGTCTCAAATAACAAGAAGTCACCGCAGCCCAGTGCCACCACTCTCCAGCCTGAGCAATAAATTCGCATACCTCCCAATCCCCGCTTCCTGACCCCTCTGTAACCCCACCCCATCCCCCTGATCCACACCCCCCACACCCGCACCCCCACCAACAGAGCACATGCTGATTGATTCTGGTCTTTCCCACAGATAGCCTTCTCCTCCCACAGATACTTGCTGACTCTCCCTAGGTAAAGATGACCTCCTGAATTCCACAGAAGCAAAGATAGAAATGCTTCTGGAAGCTTTCCATTCCGAAGGAAGTAGAAAGAGACTTTCCGACATTTCAACAACTTAGCTACTAAAAATAGCAATCCTACCTACGTGACAGACAATTTGCTGGGAATCACTGAAGGGCCAGAAGAAGAAGGTCCCTCATGTGTTTGGGGCCCAGAAGCTGAGTGTTAGGAGACAGTGGGCAGCAGTCTGCAGCTAGACCTGTGGCCCAAAGTCCCAGGGATCTGGAGAGGCACAGGGATGCCAAATGGCGCCCTGCCAGCAGTTGCACAAAGCCCATATTTCCCAGCTATACCATATGGACGTCTGCACGCACAGGCCCTGGTTCCCAAGAAACTGCAAATAGAACACATTGCTTTAGCAAGAGCTCTGAGAACTCACCTCTGCCCTAGGGAAAGCCCGAGGTGAGAGAAGAGGAAGCCGACTACCACATCCCTTCAACTAAGGACAAGGTACAGGCCTGGCTCAGGATGGAGGGGTATGTGCTGGGGGGGGGGGCACAGTGTCTCAGCAGGGACTTGGCATTCCTTAGGTTTTCTGGCCCCATGACCTGAAGCTTCCAGCCACTTTGCAGGCTGAAGGACAGCAGACCTGTGAACAGAGAGATGGCAACATGGGTGTGTGCAGCAGGCACCCATAGCTATTGGGAGGACAGCCAGGATGGGAAGGGCAGGGAACCAGGGAAGAAGTGGGAAGCCTGGGAAGCTACCACCCGCTCTGGTGCCAAGGGCTCTGTGGTCACAACTTCAGCTGGTCTGTATGCTGTGACGCTCGTGTTGAGTTGCACACAACAGCCTTCCCAGGCCAGTCATCCCTTCCCCGAGTCGTTCAAAAAGCATGCAGAGGGAGTCTCCTTTGGGCGGTAATTTCAAGTCTACACCATCAAACACCCAGAGGTTACAAAAGGGATTCTGACTTGGCCTGTCTATGTCTGGGAAGGTTCCCACTGATCTCTAAAATGGGGCCTGAAGGGTTGAGAGCTTATAATCATTGTGGGGCCAGATAGAGGGGCAATAAGAAACGGGAGAGGGTAGGGTCAACCGGCTCTGGTCAGGGAGACTCCAGACAGGGTGGGTAAAACCCATGGACTCAGCATGATGTAGGGCAGGGTCATGCAACATGACTTGATCATGAGTGAGGACAATCAGAAGAGAGGTGCCTGGTGCCTGGTGAGGGATGTCGGAAGGCAGGAGCTCCCTCTCCTGGCCACAGGTAAAATAGCAGCTGTCATGGAGGACTGGATGACCTCCTTAGCCTGGGCGGGGCTGCATCCCTTGAAGTGGGAAACAGGCTATGACAGCTAAGCAGAACTGGGGTGCAGTTTGGGCCACACTTGTGAGATACCCAAGTGGGGTATCTCTTGTTGAGTTTACTCTGAAAGTGTGGAAAAATGGGGACCATTCTAGCAAACTCTAAAGACTGATTCTGGCCTGGTCTACTTCCCTTTGGGACATCCACTCAAACTGTCCACTCAAGGAATGGTCAGGATTCCGCCACCTGGAGCCAGAGCCTCCTCTTTGGCCTGGGATGACTTAAGGCTCAACACTCCTTGCAACCACATACTTACAACATAGCTGTGACAGCTGGGGTGCCATGAACCAGGTGCAGTCTACTTGTCACCTACAAGTGACAGGAACAGACTACCACGTGGTTTCAAGCTCTACTGCCTGGTCCAGCAATCTCACATCTGCATGGAGAAGATCCAGCAATGGAAGAATAAAGGACTAAGAGAGGAGCTGAGGGCAGAAGGCAGGCAAGAGAGAAATCCCTAACTCAGGTGTGGTGCCCAAGCCTTTAACCCCAGCACTCAGGGAGCACGGAGTCAGACCAGTCTGGTCTACTTGAGTTCCAGGGCAGCCAGGGCTACACAATGAGACAATGAAAGAGAGGAGGGTAAGGAGGACCAGTGGGAGACAACCCACGTGTTCCTCAGAGTTCTGACTTCCAACTCCCCAGAGGCCCAGTGGGTCAGCACCCCAGAAACTCCTTGGAAGAGAAAATCCTGTGCTTCTTTTCTGGCCACCACAATCAAGGAAAACAGGAAAATATGGACCCCTAGTTCTTCTCATGTCCCTTTCCCTACCAAGGGGTAACTAGAACCCTTGAAGGCCCCAGTTCGAGGATCCAGCAGGAAAATGCCCTCAGAAGATGTCACATACAAACCAGTTTTTATTTATTTAAATGCAAAATGGTCAAATACTGGGGGGGGAGAGGGGAGCTTCATTGCACAGAACCATTTTCTCCCTGCCACCTGTGGCTGTCTCTCACATTCTAAATCTCTCATAGAAATAAAATCTAGCATCTTCCTCAATCGTCAATTCTATCTGAAAACTGCCAGACCAACTCTAAGAGGTGCAAAGCAAAATCTGGGGCTGCCCATCACTATGGAGGGAGACACAGCTGTATCCTCTCTGCAATGCCCAGATGCCAAATGGTATCTATACTAGAGGCTGCCTCATCTAAAGAGGCCACACAACCCCCTGCAGTCACATCCAAGGCCTGTCTGGAACATCTTGCTAAGCAAAACCATTATCAAGAGCTCCAGACTGTATCAGTAGAGCCACTGGTCCCCAAGAACACAGAAAGCGAGGGAGCTCCTCAGACAAATGGCATTAACAAATCTTGTTTCCATTTCACAAAAAGTAAGTACTCCTAATGGCCATGGCAATGCCAGGTAGACAGGGGAGAGAAAGGTTTCACAGATCCGCTCTCAGCAGGCAGAATCCACCTCAGACTAGCAGGCATCCATTTGTACCCATGAAATGAAATGTGGCCTTACATAAGCTTGCCTGGAGCGTGTACAAAGCCAATAACATAGTTAAGATGAATGCACATCCCACAGTGATAACACCTTTTCTGAACCTTATGCCAGCTTAGTCCATTTCTTCCAGATCCAGATGCCTAAGAACTCACAGGATGAGCTGTCTAACGTCAGTGGTCTCCCCTATGACCTAAGATTTGTTCTATGACAGCTATGGACAGAAGCATTGGGAGACAGCAGGAGAAATGAGACCCAGGTCTGTCCACTGCAAAGCTGCTGTGATAATGGATCCTCTGGAAACAATAGCCTGTCTCAGTGGGTCTGCCCACCCCTGGTTCCCTAGTCAGTTGACATCCCCTTGGACACAGACATCATGTTTTCTCATTCACCTGTCACTTATTTTGAAGGTCATATGTTAGGTAGTGCAGCTAGAAACAGGAATGAGAACACTCAAGGGCAGATGTGGTGTGGAGAAACAGATGTGGCCTTCTTTACACCTTTGTAGTATGGCTTCCAGACTCACTTGATTAGCCAAGTTCCCCAGGGAGGGACTTCTGGGTCATGGCCCCTCAGCAAAGCCCAAAGGGGCCCAGTAAAATAGTTGTGGCACAGGGCTTTAATCCCAGCACTAAGGAGGCAGGAGTTTGGGGCCAACCTAGACTACGAAGTTCCAGGACAAGCTCCAAAGCTACAGAGAAACCCTGTCTCAAAAGCAGAGCTGTGTGAACCCACAACACAGCTGTGACATGACCCTCAGGAATGGCTGGTGTGACAGTATGAGTTTACAGTGATGTAGAAGTGTGAGGAGACCTGTGACAGACTTTAGCCTGAACCCAGATTCATACTAGTTGGAGGGGGCAGCAGAGCCAGGCTCCTTCTTGGAAGGCCTGTAGCTGGAAGCTTTGAGATGAGAAAGTAGCCTGGCCAAGGTTGTCAGAATAAAACTCAACATCATGTTGTGTTGTGGTAAACAACTTTAATCCCAGAACTTAGAGGCAGAAGCAGGTGGATCTCCAAATCCAAGGCCAGCCTGGTCTACAACTCCAGTTCCAGGATTGCAAGGGCTACACAGAGAAACTGTCTCAGAAAAAAAATTAAAAACTCAACACCTGGAAGATAAAGGTGAGATCATCCTGGTTTATGTCCCCATTCCAAGTCAGGCATGGTGGTACACACCTACAATCCCAGCATTCAAGAGGCTGAAGCTAGCCTGGGCTATAGACATAGTGTGACATACAGATTCCATACAGAGACCCAGGGTCTATTTGTCCCCTAGACATCCTATGTAAGAAAAGAGGAAAATCTCCCCCAGAGCAAACAAGCCCCTTACCTTCAATGAGAAAGTTTCTAACATCAAAATGTAAATTTTACCCAAAGAACCAACATTGAGAACAGTTTCAGTTAATCATCTAACACTCATTTGCCATGCAGCCTTGAGTTTATTAATTTTAGGTAACAATAATTTAATAAGTACAAAGGGTCTCATATTACAGAAATATGTATACAATAAAAAAAAACGGATCAGGGATTAAACAGCTAGTACACAATAGCATCAGTTAACAAGGAGGCTAGAGACCAATGTGAATCACTCCTGGTAACAAACACACTTGTTTTCCTTGTTTTGGTTTTTAAGACAGTTCTACTTATGTACCCCCAACTGGTCTCAAACTCACCAGATGAATTCTGGACTTTGTTTCCTAAACACAAACAGATTAATGCACATAAAAGCAGATTTTGCACTAGCTGTTAGCTGTATCTATTGGTCTGACAAGAATGTGAATGGAACACACATTAACAGCCCATATAGTACTGGTTTCTGGTGTTTAGGAATTCACTGGGTAAAACCAGCATGGTGGTGCAAACCTTATCCCAGTATTTGGGAGGCATAGGGCAAGTTTGAGAGGCTTACCTGGTCTATACAACAATGTTCCAAGCCTAGTCAGAGTTATATAGTTAAGACCCTGTCTTAAAAAAAAAAAAAAATTTACTACCACGTGTCACTCAAATTTAGGCAAATACCTGATTTTTACAGTACTATCTTAGCATTTGCAAACTTCAAGGTAATACTGAGTTAAAAAAAAAAAAAAAAAAAAAAACAGGTAAAACCCAATAAAAGGCATGTAAAATAAGTGGATCAAATTTCAATCGTACCCGTTCACACAATCAAAAATATCCCGATTCTTTTGGCTTTTGACAAAAATCAAGACTGTGTGCACGCCACTATTGAAAATCCTTTCTTCAAAGCCCTTTCAAGACCCCACACTAACTAGAAATGGGGCAGAGTACAACTTGTGGGGCTGGGGGCAGGGAACGATATTGCTTTTCAGACAAATGGGAGACAGGCCCAGGCCAACCAGCAAGTATCCCAAATCACTTGTAAGTTTCCAGTGACTCCAAGTTGGAGGTTCTATGAAGCGGGCGATGACCCCATCTATGTGGTCACACACATCCTGCACATGATTGGCATCAGTGGGCTAATGCCTAGGCCACACAGGACTTGACCTCAAAGCTGCTGAAGCAATTCAATTCACCAAAGAACAGAGCTTGGGAACGAGAGGCTTCCTCAACACTAACTTCCGAGTCACTTGAATTTTAATCAGCTGCCATCAGTGGTGAACAGAACACTTGGTGCTTGGTCTTTCCCCCTCGATAGTACTATGTTTGTGTGCAAAGTGCCAGTTTTATTTACAAACTTGTTTAGTAAACTCCAGAGAGCCCGCAGGCAGTGGTGAATGAGGCTGACATCTTAAAACAGCTTTGTGGCACTAAATGTTTAATTCCACTTGCTGGAGGGTCGCCTCTCACAAAGCCAGAATGGATGCTCTTGTTGGTGCTTTAAGATCACGCTACCTGAGAAAGCCAAGGACAGGATCTCCCCTAAAAACAACTCAAGTACCTTTCGTTTTAAACATCCTTTCTTCATTTAGAGACACAACTAGCAAAAAAAGGGCCAACTGAGGTAGCTACAGTTTTTAGATGCCTGTTAACAAATTTAATGACAATTCATGGTGTAGCCAGTTGATTGATTTTGTTTTTTGACAAGGGGAGACAAGAGCAGTCGGCTTACTTAGAAGTCCGCATCCAAGGTAAAAGAATTCTCTGTCGAATTTGACATCACCCCCATCCTCTGATACTCGCCCACTCGCTTCTCAAAGAAGTTTGTCTTTCCTTCTAGTGAAATGTTTTCCATGAAGTCAAATGGATTTTCTACTTTGAAAATCTGAAAAAGGACCATCAAGACATAAATGCTGAAAACTTAAAAAAAAAAAAAAAAAAAAAAAAAAAAAGGGGGGGGGTGAGTAAGGCCATAAATATGACACTTTACCTTGTTGAACCCCAGCTCCAGCATAAGCCTGTCTGCCACGAATTCGATATACTGCTTCATCAGAGTGCAGTTCATCCCGATGAGCTTCACAGGCAAGGCCTCCGTGAGGAACTCCTGGAGGCAGAGCACAGCTTGAGCACCCTGAAGCCTCAGGACTCCCTCCCAGCTGGTGTAAGAGCAACCGGCATACATTACCCACCTGTTCTATCCTCACTGCGTTGGTAATTATTTCCTGCACTCTCTGCTCCGATGGCTTGTGTACCAGGTGCTTGAACATCAGGCAGGCAAAGTCACAGTGTAAACCCTGGAAGGAAAAGTTCAAGATCACTATGAGGCAAGACTCCTACTGTTCACACAAATGTGGATCAAAATCACTTCATCCATCTTTGAAGTCTCATGCAACTTGTCTGGCCACATGGAGAATACTCGGCTTGTCAAAACAAAGTATTTAAGGAGGTATACACCTGCATGATCACTCATGGGTTTACATTGTTCCAAATCAGCTAGGCTACAGGCTGCCAAGAAACAAAACACAAAGAGGAAAATAAAGCAGGTGGCTAGACATGGTGGGGCATAACTTTAATCCCAGCACTTGGGGGAAACAGAAGAAGGTGGATCTCTGAGTTTGAGGCCAGCCTAATCTACAAGAGTGAGTTCTAGGAGAGCCAGCCAGGGCTGTTACAGAGAAACAGGTATTTAACTACCAATTATGATACCAAGAAGTAGGCTATCCCAAATCAAGGCCCTCAGAGCTATCACCTACTACAGCATAGACATAGGCCAAACCCTTCTAACAACCAGAGACTTATCTTTACTCAGGTTTTTCCACAGCCTTGACCTCCAGTTCTCCCTAACAAGGAGGTCAGTTAGCTTTTAGATACTCAGGAATTGGATAGTTTCAAATGAGATAAACCATAGACTCTTAGCACACCACACTCCAATAAGTCTCAGAGCTCCTTTTCCCACAGGGAGATAATCACCTGCCCCTTGCTTTTCAGACTGGACAAACTATTAAGCATAGACACTTTCTCCTGTCTTTCCTCAGTCTACTTCAAGCACCTACAGGAGCCCAAGGGAACTCTCAGCTCATCAGGGGCCTTACCAATTAACTTTCAAGTACAAAAAGACACTCAAAGGATCATTTATGATACCCTAAAAGTCTTATTCAGAGCTTTCAGTTTATGCATTCAAGCCTTCAGGATAGATAATAGAATTTGTGTACTAAGATGAGTAGTTTCAATATATCACTTAAGGTATTATTTTCTTCCTTGCCAAGTATACGTATGATTGCGCTCACATTAAATGTGGATATGGGGCCGGGAATGTGTCTCAGTGGCAGAATAATTGTCTAACAAGCATGAGATAGACCGTGGGTTGGATCCCCAAGACTTGAGATGGCTCAGCAGTCATGAGGAGCATTTATTGCGCTTGTAAAGGAGCTTGGTTCAGTTCCCAGCACCTACATGGCAACTCACATCCGTCTATAATTCCAGTTGGGCATCCCACACTCCCTTGTCCTCTGCAGGCAAAACACTCAAAACACTCACACATAAGGAACAAATGCTCTTTGAAGTGGCTATGCCTCGTTTCTCAAGTCCCTATCAGCAAATACAAGAGCACATAGCTAGAAGCCATGGATCAGTTATGTCAGACTCACCTCGTCTCTGCTGATAAGCTCATTGGAGAAGGTGAGGCCAGGCATCAGTCCCCGCTTCTTAAGCCAGAATATTGATGCAAAGGAGCCTGAGAAGAAGATCCCCTCCACAGCAGCAAAGGCCACAACGCGCTCTCCTAGCAAGAGGCAAGACCAAAATGTTCCCAGTGAGGCTATACCAGTGGTATTCTTAGCATGGACCAACAACCCACTGACATTACTTGGACAATTGAATCAAGCCCAGGGCTTTAGGAAGAAACAGTGTCCTTACCATATGTAGCCTCTTTGTCCCCAATCCAACGCAAGGCCCAATCAGCCTTCTTTTTCACACAAGGCATTGTTTCAATTGCATTGAAGAGATATTCCCTGTATGCAGAAGTATAGCATGAATGATGCTACAGACCCCCAGCAGCACAACAGCTGTAGTGTAGGCCTGATTAGCCAGAGCTCTCCATCCTGATGCTGACTAGGCACCCTAATCCTAAATTTCTGCCCTCTACCTCCAGAACATAAAAGCCTTCATTTTTCTATAATCCCCAAATGAATATGGAGTGACATTTCACTAAACTGGACCAAAGTTAACCTCTTGACTCAGTACTGTCAAGAGTGTGTAATTCCCCATTTCTTATAAACATGTGTAGCCATGTTTTTATTTATTTGTGAGACATGAGTGTTCTATCTGCACATACACCTGCACGCCAGAAGAGGGCATCAGATCCCACTACTGATGGTTATGAATCACTCATATATAAAAATGTATGAGTGTTATACCTGAATATATGGCTTTGTACCATATGCATGCAGTACCTGTGGAGGCCAGAAGGGGGAATCATATCTCCCTGTAACGAGTTAAAATGGTTGTGAGCTGCCCCAAGCCCTGCTGTATGGGGGCTAGGATCCAAAACTAGGTCATTTGAAAGCCACTAGTGTGCTTAACCACTGACTGAGTCATCTCTCTGGGCCCTGGTTTGTTGGGTTTTTAGAGGCAGTATCCTCACCTGGCTAGCCTTTGTACTCCTAGCAATGCTGGGGCTGGTCTCTGGGATTACAGGCACGAGCTGCCACACACTGGATCTTATTTCAGTAACTAATAAAGTGGCCTTCACTTGAAGCAATCATGTCTAAGGGCACTAGAAATGTCTGTCTACAGTCCTAGTCATTCTGCACATGCTCCCTTTATGAACAAAAATACTTAAAATAAGTTATTGAATCCCAAGTATTTTAGCATACCACACAGATACTCACCTCTCTTTGGAATCTTTAATGTAAGTGTCAATAAGGAGACTGTACATCTCAGAATGTATGTTTTCCATGGCAATTTGGAATCCATAGAAACAGCGAGCCTCTGTAATTTGAACTTCTTGGCTAAATCGCTCCACCTAGTGGCAATAAAATAAACCAACGTTAAACTTGAAAAACTACTACCTTCTTCCTCTCAGAGCCTACTGGTATTAATATCAGCCCTCAGGCACCAGCAAGCAGAGTTCTTTGCACATGAAGCCATCTTGTTCTACTTACTGAGTTCTAGGACAGCCATGGTTAGTAAGAATTTGTCTCAAAGATATAAGTAAAACAAAAACTAAAAACAAGCTTGTTCTATATATTCTAATGCTGTTCTTCACGATTCTGCAATAAAGCTCAATTTACCATCAGGAAATATATAACTTCTATTTTGCTGGGCTTTAAACAAACGGTTAATTTTGTTTTTTGAGACAGGGTTAAAGTGCTCTTAACCTTGGAACCCCTCCCCAGGCTTAACATTTTATTCACCCATTCTTTTAGTTAATCCACTTACAGGGAAATATGCAACCAAATTATAGAAAGCCACAAAAAAAAGTAAGTGGTAAGTAAAAAGAGAAAATTTATCACTGCAACTTAACAGGAAAAACTAAGATGAATGCTAACATATACATTCACAGTTCTTTTAGACTTTATTTTACTTGTGTCTGCCTTTATGTGGGTATGCACATGCACAGGCAAGTCCCAAGGGGGCCCCTGGTGCTGGAGTCCCAAGTAGTAGGTGTGTTAGCCATGGAGTAGAGCCATGTCTCCAGCCGCCAGTCACACTCCATGCTTCTATCTTTAAGTGAATTATGTCACGCAAACTCACCAAGTTTTCATTGACTATGCCATCGCTGGCCGCAAAGAAAGCCAGAACATGAGATATAAAATGTCTCTCATCAGGCTTCAGAGCTTCCCAGTGCTGAATATCTTTGGAAAGGTCCACCTGCAGTTTAAAAGTTTACCATATTACCAGGTATGCAGGAGTTCCTCTCCATCACACGCACGTACACACACACACACTCACACACACGCACACTTTAAAACTTAGGTCCCCTACACCATCCGACCTTTCCTCACACCCAGAATCCCCTCTGCTCTTGAAGACACCGGCACCTTGAACAACCATTCCCAGGCCTAATCTAGGTGCCTGTGGGCTGGGACAGCCTCGCGGAAGCCCTGTGACACACCAAGTCGTTGAACAATTACCTCCTCAGCTGTCCAGAAGGAAGCCTCAGCTTTCTTGTACATCTGCCAGATGTCATGGTATTCGATGGGGAAGACAACGAAGCGGCGGGGATTCTCTCTCAACAACGGCTCGTCCTCAACGCTGGGGTTAGCAGACTCTTTACTCTCCTGCCGGGTGAGAAAAGCCACCCCCCCAAAATGCCAGGTGAACCCCGGGGACTCGCGGGTGCCTCTCTTTCCTCAGATCTAGCTCTTTTCAGTAGCTGGCAGTCTCGCGCGGGTCGCTGTCACATCACGTGCTACTGTCACCCTCCTAACGGAGAGCCGCTCACTGACGGGTAGGCGACCCAAGGAGGGCACTCTAAGGGGACACTTTGGCGGGAAAGGAGAGACAGACAGCTGGGACAATGCAGCTTTGGCGCCAAAGGCGGGCGCCCTCTGCTGGCGGCTCCGGAGCCCCCTCCGCCTCACTCGGGCCACTCACCGGCTCGGTGGCGTCCTGGAAGATTCTCCTCGCCGCCTTGCTGGCTAGGACGCGGGTCCCGCTGAGGCTCGGGGGCTGCAGGGACACACGCGTGCGTGAGCTGCGGGTGGGAGCCCTGCACCCTCCTCCCCACGTCCGCGATCCCACACCCTCCCGGGTGCTGTGTCCCCCACGCAACCCGAAGCCCGGGCCGCGCGCCCACCGTGTTCTCCTTGTCAGCCAGGCCGAGCCGCTTCAGCGGAGACACCTGCAGCTGCTGCTGGTCGGTGATGGTGGCGAGCGGGACGCGGACGGAGAGCATGGCGAGCGACAGCAGCGAACCGAGGCGGCGAAGGGGGAGAGGAGCAACTGGAACCGGGAGCACCGGCGGCCTCCAGTTCGGCACCTTTTAAAGGGTCCGCGGGCGGCGCGCTCCGGAGGGGGCGTGGCCGGCGCGGTCCCCGGTCACCGGCGCTTCCCATTGGCCGCTGCTAGCCCCGCCCCCGTGCGAGCGCGGGAGATTTGAGTCCAGCCGCAGGCCTTCCGCACCAAAGCCCGCAAGGAGTCTGCGCCGAGCCCATCCCCTGGCGCGCCGGCGCGCGAGTCCTCGCGGGGCCGGAACCATCTGGGGCTTGTGAGAGGCTTGCCCACTGCACAGCACCGGGGCGTTGCCGCCGAGGTCGGTGCCATCGCTGTCCAAACGCTGACCTGATCGTCTTTGCGTTCCTAGGATGCGGGTGCGAGTAATCCGGCTAGAACTGAGCGCTCTGGGGAGAGGGGCTGTCGAGCCCCGCAATTTCAATCTCGTGACCTGGTTTCTTAAAGATTCGGGGGAGGGGCCCCCAGTCATGAGGCTTGGAATCCTACCCTGTGGGGTTAGCAGTGGGGAGGCCCTTAAACGAGGGTTCCCGTGAAAAGTTGCAAGCCTTCAAACTCACGGTAACGGCCCATGGGTGTATTGCCAGCCCTGTGCCCCCCGTATCCCTCTTGTTTTAAAAGTTGCAAGCCGACCCCCCCCAAAAAAATCCAGAACGTTCAGAAGATAATTTCGAGTCATGCGTTTATTTTACGACTCGCTGGGTCGGGTGCAGCAGTCGGAAGGCGAAATTGAAAATTCCTGTGGTGAGGGTGGAGACAGGAACTCCGGTTTTCATCTGGTTGTGTAGGTGGCTTCCGCATTTGCCCTAGGGAGGGGCACCAAGACACCAGAGATAAGTGCAGGAAAGGGGACGCTGAGATCCCGGGAAGAAACGAGGAACCTGGGGATTCTCCCACTGCGGATACCCTCGGGGGTGAAGCAGACTCCCCTCTGCTTGCCTATCGCACTGGACTTGTGAAGTCACTGAACACAAAAGTGGCAGCTCAAACGAGCCAGTTACTGCCTGCCTCAGCGGCTGCTCTCTGCAAAACGTTGTCAGTTTCACAAACACGCGCCAGTATCCATCCCCTAAATAATTGGTTCATACACACACACACACACTCCCCTTTAAAACCATCTTAGTATCCTAAACTGGCCTCAAACTCCACACAAAGTTGAGGATGACCTTGAACCGATCTTGCTGCCTCCCCCTCCCAAGTGCATCCACCACCGAGCAATTTATATGGTGCTGGGTACAAAACCTAGGACTTTTTCCATGTTAAGCCAACTGGGCCATTTCGATAAATATTTTTTGTTAGTGGTCTGGCGCCATTATCACCTCTAGCAAGTGTGCGTGTGTGTGTACCTGTGTGGGGGTATAATGTGTGTGTGTGTGTGTGTGTGTGTGTGTGTGTGTGTGTGTGTGTACCTCACATACTCAGTTATCAGTATCTGAGGGCCCCCTTTGGTTGCTCTAACGCCTGGTGTTCTCGGTACAACTTAAGTCTTGACTAGTAAAATAGCACCCATCTGTTGAAGAAAGAGGGAGGGGGAAGATCGCCGCCATTCTCTCCTCCCGGCTGGCGATCTCGCAGAGAGCCTCTTCCTCCCGCCAAGCGGGCAGAGCTAAGTGGGCAGTCCCTCCTCTGCTCCCCAGAGCCCCGACCTGTCAGCAGCGGCGCGCTTTTGCATCAGGCGCCAGTTTTGACCTCTGCTGCGTGATTGGTCAGCTCCGCTTCAATCAACGGCACAAGCCACACCCACCCCTCAGCCCGCGCTCCGCGGTCACTCTAGGAGCTAAGCACGTCAGTGTTAAGACAACCGGAGGTGGGGAAAGGGGAGTCCCAGGGAGACCGAGGGCTTCCCGCAAATCCACTGAGCAGTCTGCATCAGACTGACATAAATACAGGCACAGCGCCCACAGCTCCTGCACAGCCGGACCAAGTCATACACATTTTAATCCAGATGGGAAAGGGTAAATAGTATTTTTAGACCTCTTTTTTAGGTTAGGAAATAAACGCCAGAGAGACATGGAAACGACCCAATGTCCCACTCTCACCGTCAATAGCACCACTAGACCCTCTCTGACTCCTGTTGTTGTTTGGAAAATTATTTTGTGTGAGATGTGGAACCCACTAGTGTGAAAGTCAGAGACCAATTTGTTTTGATCTCTCCTATTCTGCAGGGTCCCAGGGGTGGAACTCACGAAGATAAGCTTGGCTGCTGAGCCATCTTGCCAGACAGACAGACAGACAGACAGACAGACAGACAGACAGACAGACACACACACACACACACACACACACACACACCATTTTTGTTAGGAATGTTCCCAACATAGAGAAAAAGTGAGCAGGGCTGGATGTCACATGGCTTTAATCCCAGCATTTAGGAGGCAGAGGCAGGCAGATCTCTGTGACTTTGAGGCCAGACTGGTCTACATATGTGAATTTCAGGATAGCCAAAACTACATAAAGTAACCTTGTCCTCACCCCCCCCAAAAAAAAATAAAAAATAAAGCAAGAAAAAAATGAACTCTCAGGGGTTGTGGTGGCCAATGCCTTTAATCCCAGCACTCTGGAGGCAGAGGCAAGCAGATATCTGTGACGACAAGGCCAACCTGATGTACAGAATGAGTATCGGGACAGCCAGGACTATCTGCACAAAGAAACTCTGTCTCGAAAACCCAATGAACCAATCAACCAACCAAATAAACAAAAACCCTGGTTCTCCAGGGTTCATCCACCAGTGTCTATTTGCTGTTTGCCTTATCCTCTTCTGGGCATGTGTGAACTTTGTTGCTTTCTTTGGAGCGCTTGAAAGTGACTTGTGTCTGAACTGATGCCTTTTGTTCTTACTGCCAGCAATATTTTTATTAGGAACGTTCCCAAGGAACAGAAAAAATGAACTGGGGGGGATGGCCCACACCTTTAACCCCAGCACTTGGAGGCAGAAGCAGGTGGATCGCTGCCATTTAGAGGCCAGCCTGGTCTACAGGGTGAGCTCCAAGCCAGCTTAGGCTACATAGTGAGACCCGATCTTTAAATAAATCAGTCAATAAGAAAGAATTTAGGGACTCGGGGAGCTGGCTCAGTGGTTAAGAGTACTTGCTGCTCTCTCAGAGGACATGTGTTCAGTTCCCATCACCCACATGGTGGCTCACAACCATCTGAAACTCTAGATCTGATACCCTTTTCTAACCTCCCAGGGTATTATCATGCATCATTAAGATAATAATCCATTGCCAAAGTGACTAATGGTTAGAGTGGCCTCAGTCCAAGGCTGGACACTTAGATGTGCTTGCAGAAGTACTCTTTGTTTGTGCAGGGTTGAGGTGGCCTCTGTAAGCCTGAGGTTCTGACAGCACATGTTGTGATAGTACAAACCCTTCCTTCATAGGCTCCTGCCTTCTGTATCAGCAAGGGCTGACCCGAGCAGCTCCAGTTTGGTCTTGGCACCTTACATTTTTTTCACAGCTGAATACTAGATTATACTGGGATTTGTTAATTTTCTTGGGTATAAATATAGCATTGTGATGTTAAACAATAACTTTAATCTTAGGATCAATCTGTTCAAATACTGAATAGCTGAATAGTAAGAAAAGATATCATCTACGGTTCTTTTTTTGTTTTGTTTTAGTTTTTCCAAACAGGCTTTCTCTGGGTAATAGCCCTGGCTGTCCTAGGACTCACACTGTAGACCTGGCTGGCCTGAAACTCACAGATCCACCTGCCTCTGCCTTCCCAGTGCTGGGATCAAAGGTGTGCACCACCACCATCCACCCTGTAATTTGCTTTTTGTGTTTTGTTTTGTTTCTTGGAGCAGGGTGCCTCTACATAGCCCTGGATAGCCTAGAAGTCATTATGTAGACCAGGCTAACCTTGAACACACAGAAATCTGACTGCCTCTGCCGTCCGTGATCAAAGGTATGCACCACCATTCCCAGCTTACAGATCACTTACTTTCTTTTAGATTTATTTTATTTTATGTGTATGAATGTTGTGCCTACGTGTATGTGTGTCTAAAGAGACCAGAAGGTGTTGGATCCTCTGGAATGGAGTTATTAGCCACTTTGACCCACTATGTTGGTGTTGAAAACTGAACACAGGTTCTGTAAAAGCATCAAATGCTCTTAACCACTGAGTCATCTCTCTAGCCCCAACACTTTAGTCTTAGGGTAAAAAAAAATCCTTATTTATTTAAGACAGGATCTTATGTGTCTCAGGCTGGCCTTCAACTCAGCATGTAGCTGAGGGTAACCTAGAACCTCTGTTCTTCCTGTCTTCCTGAATTCCCCCTAGGAATTCAGATCACAGGTGTGTGCCACTATTCCTGATTACAGCACATCTGGTTTAAATAGCAGTGGGAATTGAACCATAGGGCCAGCACTCTACTGAGTCTCTGCCAGTAACTTCTTTCTGATACTGGGTGTGCATTCTCGGGGTGGGGAAAGAAGGAAGCGGACTTCAGAGTTACTCTGAATTAGAAGATCAGGAACACCTGTACAAAGATTTGCAAGTAGGATAAAAACCCCACTCTAGAGAGGAGGAAGGAAGGGCAGAGTCAGTTTGGCTGGATGAGACTCCTAAGGCCTCTCTGATTACCCACTTAGCTAAATGATGAGAAAGACAAAAACCAGGAAAGGCAGCCTTAAAATGATGCAATGATGAACTTCCCAGAAGTGTTGCTGGAATGAAGTGTGATGGAATGAAAGGACCTAATAGGAGAGGAAGGTTGGAATGTTCCTGTTACTCATTTGCTCCATGCCCTTGACTCAGCCAGTCACTTGAGAATTCTTCTTTTGAGACAGGGTTTCTTAGTGTAGCCCCAGTTTTCTTGAACTCTACTTTCTGTAGACCAGGCTTGCCTGGAACTCAGAGATCCACTTGCTGGGATAAAACCACCCACCCCCCATCCCTCTGCTAAGCAGGAACTTTTAAATATTTTTTTTTTAGATCTGTGTGTGTGTGTGTGTGTAAGTGTAAGTGTTGTACCTGCATG